TCGACTTAGTCTCTGCGAAGGTGCGTCGCGGTCTTCAACAATTACCCCCTTACCTAAACCACCATAATCCTTTCCCTCATCAACCCTTACCCAACTTCAACCTTTTAAAATTACTCTAGATAGTTGACGCATAGCAACTATCACTTGTCATCCCCCTTTACTATGCCTTCCTATAGTGCTATATGACCTTAGATGTCTAGCACATTTATTTAACCATTAACCAACCATTATGCATTAAAAATATAGAAAATGAATAGTTCACTCTATAACAGAAAGCTGTATTATTTAGAGCCTTAATTTTTTTACCTTTTTTTTAAGACCATATCCTGTATTTCCTTGTGTAGTTTTCTTAGCGACCGAAGGCAAGAGAGCTTCACAGTAGCCTTTCTTGATTGATTTAGAGGAAAAGGAGAGAATCGGTGGTGAGGAGGAGGCAGGTGTAGGAGCGTATTGCGCATGCGCGGTATTGGTGACGCTCAAACATAGGGATTTAGAACGGAGTCACGGTCAAATTTCCATTTCACTAGTTAAGGGTCCAACGAAGTCAGTTCACGTATTGCTACTGCACTACTGCGATCACCATACCTTGTTTTGTATAATCAGAGCCAGTAAGACTGTTTAACTGCCACGAACTTTCGGTAAATCACGAGTTAGGGGAGCACAAATCAGTGTTTACATGTAAGTACGGGAGGGGTAGGGAGGAAGGGAGGGAGGAGGAGAGAGAATAGAGAGGAGAGAGAGAGAGAGGAGGAAGGGAGGGGAGGGAGGAGGGCGGAGGGAGGGGAGGAGGAGGAGGAGAGGAGAGAGGAGGAGAGGAGGGAGGAAGAGGAGGGAAGGAGGAAAGAGGAAGGGAGGGAGAGAGGAGGGAGAGAGAGAGAAAGAAAGAAAGAAAGAAAGAGGAGAGAGAGAGTCATGTGTGTCTCGCTCTTCGCAACCTTCCTGACGCACTTTTCCTGTCGCAGCGCTGGAATTTTACGGAAAATCGTCTGCTAAACGGAAACAAAAGACGACCGACGGACGCTGACGTCACAGCGGAGTTTTTCTGTAGGCCGTATTTTTGTTATTTTGCGTTACAGATGGTTTTGTACAAAGGAAAAGTGCTTAAAACAATGTTGAGATATTTTCCCATGTTCATATAAATTAAACATGAAAATTACTGAAACTATCGTGGTATGAACTGATATCATTATATTGTTGTCATTATCATTATCAATGTTATTTATTATCGTTATTGCTATTACCATTATCATTATTATTATTATCGTTACTATTATAATCATTATTATTAATATTGGCATTTTCATTATTATAATGAAAATGATAATATTGATGCAGTAATAATATTCATTTTCATTATTGTCGTTGTTTTCACTATGATTAATATCTTCAATATCATTATCACCATTTTCATCATCTTCACCATCATCATTAATCTCAGTATTATGATAATGATGCAAAAACAACAAGGATAAGAAAAAACAGTAACCTTTGTCTTTTTCTTTGTATGTATAATTACTGGTAACATCAACAAACCATCATACACAACGGTCATTATCTAAAACTTGACACAGTGATGACAAGGGATGATGACCTCGGCAAATAACGAGATGATTGATATCCCTCTCCTTATTCTCCTTCAAATTGATGTGTTTGTCAAGTCCTTGCAAACCAAGATCAAGAATTTTTTGCTAGCACTTAGAAACCAGTGGATTGAATTTTACAATGACAATGGCTTGTAAATTCATTTATCACCTACCAGTTATTATCAATTATACTACAGTTTATCTTGCATTATCATACATTTTCATCTGAGCAATGATAATCGGTTAACGTCGCATCAAAGTTGTGATTTTCGTCTTCAAAACGTCACGATACATCGCCAGGATTTCTGATTCATTAACAAGATCCTGATGAAACCTCGTTTAGGATCCACTTACTGTAGGCAGAGACACGGGCGACGGCGGCAGGAAACAACACGGCAGGCAGCTAATCGTTTGCTCTGAGGGAAACTCCGAGCTGCAAAATGAAATTGCCTCAAAGACCAAGATGTGAAATCAGTACATTGCTACACCATTCACCCTAGATGTCAACGAAAGAATCCGACTAACATTGCCAAAATTACTTTCCGTACACATGACCTTCCCTTACCTATCTACATTGGTGGACAATCCCCCCTGTTGAGCATACCAACCCCCTCCCGTCAAGGGGTGATCAAAACTGTGGGGGCTTTGGACATCCTGCCAACACTGCCGTTCCACAGACCGAGCCATATGGTTAGCTCAACCTGGTCATAACCGATCAAACTGCTCAGCAAAACACGTAACATGTGCTAACTGCGGCGGCCCCATAATGTATTTACAGAGCTGTCCCACTTACAAGTTTGAATCTGGGAGGTAGCAACTCTCAGATACAAAAATGGTTCAACTCGCAGATACAAAAATGGTCTCACTTTACACTTCTACATTCTACCTCCTTCAGACCAATTCTTTTGCCACTCTAAATCCAAACACCACCAATCTCAACACAGCTAAGCTCACTACAAGCCCCAAACACTTTCTGACATTCTACCTCCCTACTCTAAATCCGGAGACCACCCAATCTCACCGCAGCTCCAATCTCAACTAACAGCCCAACACCATCCCTCTCCCTCCCTGCACTACCCGCAGTAGACTAAACGTTCTAACCCTTCTTCCCAACAGCACAATCACCTCCACCTACCTTTACTTTATTCCTGAGACACCAGTCTCCTCTCCCCCCCCCCCCTTATAAGAAAACCTCTGTCCCACAAAACTCTCCAACCAACTCCACTGCAGAAACAATTACCTTTATTCTTGAGACACCAGTCTCCTCTTCCCTCCCTCATAAGGAAAACCTTTGTTCCCACAAAACTCTCCAACATCCACTGCAGAAACTATGAGGTGACATTCAAAGCTATATGCTTGAGATACAAGATCCCATAACTCATGCTCCTGAAGTGATTGCCGATACTCATTCCCCTCCTACTCATATTCCCCCTACACCCCTCCCTCCTACTCCCTCTCAACACAACCTAACCCCTCAAATTCCGTTCACCACCGATATCCATCCTCCTACCACTAATACTCCCCCCACACCACTTCCTCCTACTCCCTCCCAACCCAACCTCTTCAACCCCAACTATACGCACATTCTCCCTCCCTCCCATCCCCTATCCTTTCCACTCCCTCCCGGATACACACGGAATCACTCATGTAACGACAATGGACCTTCCCAGATTTACCTAGCCCTCCTTTACAGCCATCTAGCTACACCCTTCCCCGCCAGATTCCCCAATACTTACCGACGCTTTCACTCATAAAATAACTAAGATATAACTCTCCAACATTGGAATATGCGCAGCTTCCGTTCTCACAGAAGTCATATCCTTGCTTCTTATAATCCATCTATTATCTGCCTCCAAGAGACTTTCCTCACACATCCTCCTATTTCAATTCCCAATTACCATTTTATCTCTTCCCCACACTCCCTTTATGTCTTGTCTATACTTACCCATCATAAAACACCTTAATATCCTTCACTTGATCTAACTCCCTTACCTAAACCACCATAACCCTTTCCCTCATCAACCCTTACCCAACTTCAACCTTTTAACATTACTCTAGATAGTTGACGCATAGCAACTATCACTTGTCATCCCCCTTTACTATGCCTTCCTATAGTGCTATATGACCTTAGATGTCTAGCACATTTATTTAACCATTAACCAACCATTATGCATTAAAAATATAGAAAATGAATAGTTCACTCTATAACAGAAAGCTGTATTATTTAGAGCCTTAATTTTTTTACCTTTTTTTTAAAGACCATATCCTGTATTTCCTTGTGTAGTTTTCTTAGCGACCGAAGGCAAGAGAGCTTCACAGTAGCCTTTCTTGATTGATTTAGAGGAAAAGGAGAGAATCGGTGGTGAGGAGGAGGCAGGTGTAGGAGCGTATTGCGCATGCGCGGTATTGGTGACGCTCAAACATAGGAATTTAGAACGGAGTCACGGTCAAATTTCCATTTCACTAGTTAAGGGTCCAACGAAGTCAGTTCACGTATTGCTACTGCACTACTGCGATCACCATACCTTGTTATGTATAATCAGAGCTAGTAAGACTGTTTAACTGCCACGAACTTTCGGTAAATCACGAGTTATGGGAGCACAAATCAGTGTTTACATGTCAGTACGGGAGTGGTAGGGAGGAAGGGAGGGAGGAGGAGAGAGAAATAGAGAGGGAGAGAGAGAGAGAGGGAGGAAGGGAGGGAGGAGAGGGGGGGGAGGAGGAGGAGGAGGAGAGAGAGAGGGAAGGAGGAGGAGGAGAGAGAGACGGAGGATGGAGGGAAAGAGGGAGGAAGGAAGAGAGAGAGAGAGAGAAAGAAAGAAAGAGGGAGAGAGAGAGAGAGTCATGTGTGTCTCGCTCTTCGCAACCTTCCTGACGCACTTTCCTGTCGCAGGGCTGGAATTTTACGGAAAATCGTCTGCTAAACGGAAACAAAAGACGACCAACGGACGCTGACGTCACAGCGGAGTTTTTCTGTAGGCCGTATTTTTGTTATTTTGCGTTACAGATGGTTTTGTACAAAGGAAAAGTGCTTAAAACAATGTTGAGATATTTTCCCATGTTTATATAAATTAAACATGAAAATTACTGAAACTATCGTGGTATGAACTGATATCATTATATTGTTGTCATTATCATTATCAATATTATTTATTATCGTTATTGCTATTACCATTATCATTATTATTATTATCATTACTATTATAATCATTATTATTAATATTGGCATTTTCATTATTATAATGAAAATGATAATATTGATGCAGTAATAATATTCATTTTCATTATTGTCGTTGTTTTCACTATGATTAATATCTTCAATATCATTATCACCATTTTCATCATCTTCACCATCATCATTAATCTCAGTATTATGATAATGATGCAAAAACAACAAGGATAAGAAAAAACAGTAACCTTTGTCTTTTTCTTTGTATGTATAATTACTGGTAACATCAACAAACCATCATACACATCGGTCATTATCTAAAACTTGACACAGTGATGACAAGGGATGATGACCTCGGCAAATAATGAGATGATTGATATCCCTCTCCTTATTCTCCTTCAAATTGACTTGCGATGTGTTTGTCAAGTCCTTGCAAACCAAGATCAAGAATTTTTTACTAGCACTTAGAAACCAGTGGATTGAATTTTACAATGACAATGGCTTGTAAATTCATTTATCACCTACCAGTTATTATCAATTATCTACCAGTTTATCTTGCATTATCATACATTTTCATCTGAGCAATGATAATCGGTTAACGTCGCATCAAAGTTGTGATTTTCGTCTTCAAAACGTCACGATACATCGCCAGGATTTCTGAATCATTAACAAGATCCTGATGAAACCTCGTTTAGGATCCACTTACTGTAGGCAGAGACACGGGCGAACACGACAGGAGCAACTATCGTGCAGTTTTCTGGACCAAAACTCGTTACTCCGAGCTGCAAAATGAAATTGATTTTATATGATGTGAAGTCTGTAATCAACAGTAATTCTTATATAACCATACATTATTGGTATTACAATTTACATAATCTTTAGTGTTACTACGCCAAAGGAACCATGATCCCCTGCGTTTCTCGTTCAAAGAACAAACAGAGAAAATGAAATCGCGCAGCACGCAGGAACTCACCAACAGCCAAATCCCGTTTCTTTCGTTACCAGCGGACCCCCAGAATCGCCGCTGCAAGTGGTCTGTCCAGGGTCGGCAGCGCAAATCTTGTGGAAGGGAAAAATATCATCTCAGGTTTCTCCAAGATTTATAAAGTGGCGTGCTCGGTGTTACTGTTCTCATTGGAATTTCCTTCTGCTTAATTATGTTAGGCACTTACTTGTTTATCAGTAGGGAAGTTGCGTAGCGCTTTTACTCCCCTTGATCGACCACAGTGACTCCCGCTTCCTGAAGTTCGTCCGGAGATGTCATTTCCTCTTAAAAAAGAAATATATAAATAATATATATATATATATATATATATATATATATATATATATATAGGTAAATAGATACAAATTTGTGATAACACAATAAGCAATAAGGGCAGTGCTAACGGGTTATACTTGCCGCATATCCCGATTTTCTTTTCATTAGTAACCTACCTAGGAAATGTTTCATCTACATCGTAAGCTGTATTAGACACGAAATTATTGTTACTTTTTCAGAGGATACCATATAAGAACAGCATGAGTCCTAAAAGTCATCTTTAGTGCAAGAAGCGCTCACCAGAAAATTAGAATTAAGCATATATCTTAAAAAAAAAAAAAAAAAAAAAAAAAAAAAAACTGAGCCATCACACAAATTCCATCCTCACGGTAGTCCAGCAAGCCCCATCCTGTTATGACTGCCTCGCTGCCTACGAAGGTCTTGTCAGGTGGCAGGCAAATGGGTCCCACATTGTCGGTCCACTCGAGAGGCGACTGCAGTGTGAGTACGGCGATGTCGTTGGCCTGTGACGATAATTTATTCCTGCGATGCTACTGAGGTTTGCTTTCATCGGCACGTTAGATTTAGATTAGATTTAGATAGGTTGGCTTTCTTGTATCTTGTGTCATTATCTCCACACTCACCCTCTCCCGGTCCCCACCGACATGCCATCCCCACAGCCACCCTTCCCCATCCCCACAACCAATCTATCCCATCCCCACAGCCAATCTATCCCATCCCCACAACCACTCTATCCCATCCCCACAGCCACCCTTCCCCATCCCCACAGCCACTCTTCCCCATCCCCGCAGACACATGAAGACTTACCGCGGTCGTGACATTGAACTTCGGGTGTACAGTGATTTTCTTGGCACCAATGACTTGCGTGGTACTTTCGTCTTCAGTTTCTATGTTGTGTTCTCCCGCTACGACTATTACCACAGGAGTGCTCGGATAGAGGGAAAATTGATTTCATTATTATAAGGTCATTCTTCGTAGACAGATAGACAGATTAATGAGATAAATAGATAGAGAGATACACATGCATATATGTACCTTGACATAATGTCACCAAAAGGTTACTGAGACAGCCAGACTTGTTTTACTAAAACGAATATTTTGACACCAATGAAATCACCTTGGTATTTCGTTCCCTCTATTTCAATAGTTTTAGAGGGTAAAAAAGGTTTCTTGGTTCACACCTGGAACCCATCTCAAGTGTAGGCCAATACTAGTATGCTAACATCATGCTGGACTCATAGTCGGGGCGGAAAGGAACTGGCCTTCTCGCCACATCATCCCGTGGCTTTTTACGCATGTTTCTCCACGAACATGTCCCCTACGTCCACTTATATACAACCAACTTTGTCTTTGGCTTTTGTTCCACTTCCTGACCACTGCTGCAGTAAGGAAGTGCGCACAGAGTGGCTGGACTCTGCTAGATGTGGCTACTCAACAATATGCTCAAGGCCGAATAGTTCTCTCTTGCACCTAGGCCCCGCCAGCTGCTTTCCCCCTTCAGCGGACACAGGTGGTCACTCTACTTTCTCTTTTGACACTCTCCTAAGCAGCTATTCATTGCAAGGAATAGCTGCATAGAAGGGACGTCTCATCAGACAGCAGGGGAGAACAAGAGATGCAGAAGAGAGCATGGACAGACAGTCTCGCACGTTACTGCTCTGTCCTCGGCACTCTGGGCACGGATCTCTCGTGGGGTTTTACATACACCTTCCCTAATAAACCCTCCAGATAAGACCCCTTTCATTCCACCTGCTCTGTGCCTCAACCTTATTGCACCATCCACTGACATACCTCCCATACACACATCAGAGCGTGTCTAATGATTCTTACCATAGTGTAGCAAGCCGTTGACTGTGGCACTAAAAACTTACCTATCAGAGATGAAACAGTGGGCTGCTGTTATAATGTGGAGTGACGTGATGATGGATCCACCGCAGAGGATGGATGAGGCACCAACTATGATAGTCAGACGTACCATCCAAGGGTATTCTCCGGGCTGCGACGCTTGCCCGCCCACAATCCTCGGAGCCCCAGCACTGCTCGGAGCCTTCCCACACACTGGGAATTTCACGCATAAAGAGGACTTTTACTCCTTGATGCCAATGGTAATGAAAGACAAGAAAAATAGGAAATTGGCTCCATATATGACCTTTCTACAGCATTGAATATTAAACTCAGATGTCAGTATAAAGGAGGTCAGTGATTGTATACAAAGGGTGAAGGTAACCCGCTGCCTATCAATCTACATGAATTCCGCAATACGTTCTTTACATTTAGCATGATCTACTTTCTAAAAGAGGTTAAATAACGAAGGGGTCTTCATACCTTGATCACATCCAGGAGCCTGTGTTACACCACTACTTCCTCCTCCGCCAGAGGCTGTGGGTAGAAACGGAATCTTCTCAAGGTTTTATAATGATGTCCGTTTGATACCTAAAGTTGTATAACTTATTATGAGAACGAGATATTCTTCCAGCCTCGATATTCTTTGATTTAGATCGATCTCTTCCTCTCCATTCAGTGTTTTCTGACCATTCCCTCTCTTTTATTCCATTCTTTGTTTTCTTACTCCCCTTATCCTCCTCCAAAGTAAATGACAACACCGTGACTCACCCTTCACACCTTTGACGACACACAGGATATTTGGCTTATCACTCACTTCGCTGACTTTCTTATATGTAAGACGCACTTTCCTCAGTCCCTTTCGCCTATCAGGTCCTTCGTTATTGCAGTACCTGAAGGATACAAAACAAAACAAAGCATACGTAATTACTGCACTGCTTATGCTTCAATACCTATGCATATTGTTATCGTCTTGAAACAAATAACATTGTCCTTTGTTGGCGACACGATGGTGTGGAATATAAAATAAACATTGATAAAACATTGTGAAAAAAGGAAGATAATGTTTCTTTCATGAAAAATATAAGGTTAAGATTGATATGATGAATATATTACCACTCCGATTGGGATTCAAACCCTCACCGCCATTGCAGGTAACTTGCAAGACGGTCACTCTAACTACTGATACACGACCCACTAAAAGGAGTGTGCAACTAGGAGCTACCTAGCTTCCATAGACATTACCTATCTACTTATACTGGTAGCTCCTTGTTGCACTCCTTTCAGTGGGTCGTGTATCACTAGTTAGAATGACCGTCTTGCAAGTCATATGCAACGGCGGTGAGGGTTCGAATCCCTATCGGAGAGGTTATATATATATATATATATATATATATATATATATATATATATATATATATACACAAACATAAAAAAATATATATATATGTATGTATGTGTGTATATATATACACACGACGACGACAATAAAAAAAATCTCCACTCCAGAGTTCCTGAAGCATTTTGACCTTTTCTAAGGTAATGAAAATATTAGCAATGGATCCCTTTGCGAAAACCGTATCAGCGAAGCGCAATAAGATCATTCTAACTCTAAAAAGCCCGAGAAAGATACAGCAGATACTTCAACAAGAGCGGAGGACAAGGCAATTGGTCGCCATCTGAAAGAGCACACTTGCTTCTTTGGCAAAACCAGAACAGTTACACAGGAGAAGGAGAAGTACGAATGTTAGGGAATACACATGGGCGACAAAGCAGTGTGGAATATTAGGGAATACACATGGGCGACAAAGCAGTGAGGAATATTAGGGAATATACATGGGCGACAAAGCAGTGTGGTGACTTCATGAGCAGGTTCTTCAACACTGAAATCCTGACAAGCTAATGAGAGCAGAGCCGAAGGGTGAAATGCAGTGATAAGGCATAAAGAGATTAAATGAAATCTGAAGAACGCGTTGCAGAACCAAGGCAAAATTGAAGTAAAGAAGGATCATTATTATTTATTTATTTTATTAATTCTTATTACTATTATCATTTTCATACTAGACAAGAAAGCATTGTTAGAAGATGCAGAAACACAACAGCCGTTGAACAAGCGGAACAACGATCACAATGCAAGACTCACTTCTCTTTGGAGTCTTGGTCAGTAACCTCAAGGTATTCTTCATCGCAGTTCGAGAGGTCGAATTTCCTGCAGACTAACTGTAGCTCCGCCTTACCCCTTGGCTGCACGCACGGAGGGGGAGAGAAGACAAGTGTTATCAAATAGCGTCAGAGAGAAAAATGCAAACATCACTTCAGATGAATAAATTTCTGCAAACTAATTGTAGCTCTTGGTTGTATACGGAGGGGAAGAGAAGAACGGGTGTTATCAAATAACATGAGAGGAAAAAAAGCACAAGCAAACAACAAAAAATCACCATACGGTTTCAAAAATTACAGCAAAAAAAAGAGGAAAAAGCTTTCAGGCAAAACTAACCTTAAAGAAAACTTTGCAAAAGTTCTCATTTCCTTTGACTTGGAAGGTCCTTTTCGCTCCCCTCTTGAGCTTGTATCTTTTTCCGCACTTTGCTGTTTAGGATTTCAGTTCGAAGGGTAAAACAATAATAAAAAGCTTTATAAATGATGATACTATTTTTTATGTCTGAGTAAGGATTCGTAATGATTTGCCATATGTCATTATTACTTATACTGAAAATAGTTGTTTCTTATGTGCAGTAGTGCATTTATTTTTCATGGTAACATCACAAACACCCTTGCTATCTCTCCCTATATCCCTAGCCAGTAATTATAAAAGCTGTATTGTGTTTTTTGGAAGACGTGATAAAGCATTAAGAAGTCACTTGGTGGAATTAGATTCGATATTCCAATATAAACGAAGAGAGATAAAACGTATAAAATAAGGTCATCAGTATTAATCAATATATATTAAAGCGTTAATTCCTATCTGTTAATCAGTTTTTGAAACGGAGAAAATCCGTAAAAGATAGAGACGTGAAGAACACTATCAGTAACAAAGGCTAAAGGGAAGCTGGAAAAAACCGGGCAAACTTAGTATGCATAAAGTTTGATACCCGCCATATGTGTTACTGCGCTAGAATAGTATACCATGAAGTTGTATACATATTAATTAATACACATGTGCATGTACGTATATATAAATGTGTATGTGTGTACATGCGTGTGTTCATGTGTAGGTATATGTCCCCTTATCGTTGCACATTTTCATACCTCAAATATGCTTCCTTACCTTTCCCGTTTCTTTCCACGGCTCTCCTCTCTCTCCGCTCCTCCCCCGGCGTCACCCCATGGCTCCTCAGGCACAGCGTCAGGGTCCTTCGGGAGGAACTTGGGTTCTCCTGGCGACATTTATCCAGGATTTCGTCGAAGGATGAATTACTGAGATCCTGTGAGTGGAATTTCGTAACACAGTTTAAATGCAGATATCCTTTATTATTATCATTATTTGATTTATGTCCCGCTGGAATCTGCCTGGAGGGAGTTTGTGTTATAACTTCAGAACATCATCATGAACAAATCGATGCTTGTAGGGAAAGTATTTAGTATATCTATCTATCTATCTATATATATATATATATATATATATATATATATATATATATATATATATATATACGCATATATATACATATACAGCATATATGCCTGTGTGTGTGTGTGTGTGTGTGTATATATATATATATATATATATATATATATATATATATATATATATATATATATATATATATATATGTGTGTGTGTGTGTGTGTGTGTGTGTGTGTGTGTGTGTGTGTTGATTCCAACAGTATCTTATCATTTACACAAACGGCATATTAATATTGATTGGCATCGAGATCTAATAGCTTAAGCACAGACCTACCTTATTTTCAGTGTTTCCATAACTTGTATAATTTTCTTTGCTAGTGACTTGGTACAGGCCTTGACTCGGAGAAATTGACGATATAACAACCGCCAGAAGCAACACTGCCCACATCTCGTGAGTTATCTTACTCTTCTACTTTCTTTAGTTTTCTTTCTACTCTCTTTCACTGGCTTCTGAAAGGAGAGGGCGGGAGGAAATTAGTGCTGAGGTAAATCGGACACAAAGTTATTTTTTTTAACTGATATAATTTCACCGGAGACTGTCTTCTGCTTTGGTCGTTTGGCGCGAACTTGATTGGAATCATGATAACAGCATTGATATTGAAAATGTGTCGGGATTAAGACATCAGCATCAAAAGTAAGCAAGAAAAAGGTACAGATAGTCTGACTTCGTAGCAGACACTTAGAGACACAATGCCTGGTAACTAATCTACTCAGGTTTAAGTGATAAAATTAATGCCAAGAATGTTATCTCATCTGTTGAATATTACTCTTCGTATTTTGCCAATGGGAAGAGTAAAAAAAGAAATAGAAATCATGAATCACACAATCTGATTTCAGAACCTCAAGCTGAAAGTGAAATTGGGGAACAGACAGTGATGGAGGAACAGTTATATACCATATATTGTGCCATTACTTATAAGAATAGCAGTAACGATAGTGCTCTGAGAGTCTGAATGAACTTATGATCAGTTTCTAATGAAGAAATATTTAAAATACACATTAATTTTAATTACGGAAACATATTAACAATACATTAGGAAACCAAATATCCTTCCCCAAACCCTACCTATTTTAAAGTCTACATAATCTTATAGAATTAAATCCTATTCCTATCAAAGAACAAACAAACCTTGGAAAATACGAAAAAAGCACAAGCTCACGCGCATGCGGATCTGTACCGGTCGTGGTGTCGAAGCAAGGCGCTTCAAACTCGGTGGTTAAGTAACAACCAACAAGACCGTGGGCTGTATATATATATATATATATATATATATATATATATATATATATATATATATATATATATATATATATATATATATATATATATATATATATATATATATATATATATATATATATACATATACATAAGTGACAAAGCCCCTTCTATGGATTTTGCACTTTCCCTATTACAACACTTTCATGAGGACCCTCCCCCCTCAGATACCCCCACAGGCTACTGCAAGCATCTTCTGTTGGGGACTTTTGGCTCACGGGGTCTGAACACATCCCTCGATTTATCTTGTCTTTCTCGCTCTCTACTCATAATAGAGAGCTGGAAGGTTGGAGTCCTTTACTTGCTCATTCGTCCCGCCACTTGTTCACTCCCCATAATATTATCGAAGTTTAATCTAAAAGAAATTTATGATACGAAAGCGCAACCTAGTGCACCCTCATAACACTCAACTCTAGCTGCGCCATAGTACATGCATATAGATAGATAGGCAGATAGATAGTAGATAGAGAGTAGACAGATAAATAACAGACAGATAGATTGTTATGTGTACATATATACATTTATATCACACTAAATATGCTTATTCAGACGATAAGCATAAAGCTATTGGTATGAAAGTTATTTATATTACATAACACCTAACTGCAGAAACTCCATTATTATCCTTATATTCATAAAACACAAAATTAGTATCTATATTCCATCATTATTACGTATCATTTCAAGTAAAGAGAAAAAATAGAAAAATATATGAAATAAGATATTAAAGATATATAAACACGGAAAAAATCATAATCTTTGAAAATATACTCGAATGAATTAGAAAAGAAATTTCGATAATGACACGTATATATATATATATATATATATATATATATATATATATATATATATATATATATATATATATATATATATATATACATATATGTATGCGTATGTATATATGTACATTATAAATCGTAAATAGTCACACAAGATAATTTTGCTCATAATCGGACACTAAAATCTTACCGATCAGGCCATACCGACGAACAGAAACGATGATAAGTCCGCAGTTTCAGAGAAGACTCGGTGCTGAATATTTACACATGATACAGAGCTTAAATTCTAACTTTCATTTCTGTTTAGTGTGAAAAAATAGAGTAACTGCAAGTATCTAATAGGAAATAATGTGCGGCAAAAAACACCAGTTTACCTGTTGGTCCGCAATGCTATACTGAGGGAAACTTGGTATACAGTCGCTATTTGTACATTTGGGCGTATGTCAATGTATGTCACTATGCTTATTAGTGTACACGTGTGTGTGTGTTAGTGTGTGCTTACATGCGCTTCCAAGTACGCATCACTTTTATTTTTTCATGATATAAAACATCTGTTGTAACAAGTGTTTCAAATAACATGGGTGGTTATAATCAAGGTTTGTGAAGTTATAGGTAGGTGGTGTATATATTGCAGTTATTATTGTAGATATTTGCTGTTGTTCTATCTCAACATCCTTGAGCTCCTTCCAGAAACGGACTCACGCCAACATTACTTTCAGATTTCTTAACAACAGCGGTGAATATCACACATGATTGTTGCGCATAAGAACATAATGTTCAACCTATCTTCACAGGGGGTCAACTTTCGCTTTAGTTGACCTGGCTATTTGCGCATGGTACTGATCTCACAACAGAAGCCTCTCCCCATCCTTATATTTTTTTCGTCTTGTTGGAAAGGGTGGCGTCGAGGGGTTCTCGCGACACCGACTCTGAATTACTGGATGTCCTGTGATTGGCTAGAAGTGTTCAATTCGTGATTGGCTTAGAAACTGTGATGTCACGACTGTTGTTCTCTTTGAAGGCTTATTTTTGTGTACATTTAATAATCCCCTTCAGCAACTATCTTTTAAGGTCCGTTAATATCCACAGACTTGTCAAAATGCATTTGTATATCTTATACTCAGGGACTTGTGAGTGAGGCTATGTGACGTCATCATTTAATGCCAAGAACCGCAATAAAGATTTATGTTTTCGTGTATATATCGGTTAACCCAAATACCTATGAAGTAAACTCAAAATATTTGGTGTTATTTCCTCTCAACAAGCGTTCCATGCCATTAGTAACCTCCAGAAAATACTTTCTCATTACAGAAGTCAATGGAAATTTCGCCTTCTGTTATATTTTCGTTGTCATTATTGTGTGGGTCACAGTAAATATATTCCATGTATCTGCCCATGATATATAAACAATTAACCTACAATTTCTGGTATCTATCATCTACCAAGTCTGACGTCATACCCAACCGACCCCGCCATTACTACTTCATCGCTACGTCATAAGGTACTGGAAAAGCAGAGGGTATTACTGGATTCACAGACCTTTAGTATAGCCGTTTCAGTCGTCCACCAAATGTGTGGGTGCGGAATGGCAGATGTGACAACTCCAAGATAAAAACTTTCCTTCGACCCTGTCTTTCGGTATATAGAAAAATGTTGAACGGCTAATACAACAGACACGATTGTTTCTTGCCATTACGCATTGCTAATTGTAGAGTGATCAGCTTGCAGAGGTCTATGGAGTGCGATAAAAAAAAATAATAAAAACGACTATTTTTTCAAGACAGTTTTCAGCTTCCGTGGTAGAAACAAACTTGACAAACTATAAGAATGCTATTTTACATTAATGGTTCACTTATTCATTGTTAATAATACATCTTGATGATAATGATAACAAACAATAATGTAATAATAATGATAATCTGTTATGTTGCCTGCTGGGGAAAATGCTTAGGGCAGCTCTTACCTAATACGCCATTTCGCTGGGACTCCTCAGTCAAAACCAAGACTGTGGATGAAATCATATAAGCAAATATCTCTTCCATGCATCAACTCCGACTCTCTCTCTCTCTCTCTCTCTCTCTCTCTCTCTCTCTCTCTCTCTCTCTCTCTCTCTCTCTTCTCTCTCTCTCTCTCTCTCTCTCTCTCTCTCTCTCTCTCTCTCTCTCACACACACACACACACTCACTCACTCACCTCCATTGTGACCTCCATTGTAGATTTATGGGGACAGCTGCGTTGCATTTAAATGAAAATAGATAAATATCGGTCACTGTGGATATAGCGATCGTATAATGATAATTATATAAATAGAACTGCCTCCTAGAATACCATGAGATATGTAATGATATAATGATATATTAATCAAACTGATATATTCTGCAACCAATGAAGGATAGCTTCCTTACCGAAATTTAGCCATATCTTGAGGTTTTTCATAATTCACTTTAATACACTCTCAAGGGAACATATTCTGACGATTCTGACTGGGTTGTAATGCTGTTCTCTAGGCAATAAACCTGATAATTTTCAACTTAACCTGCCTCTATCATCATTCTACGCGTCGCTTGGCAAGTACGATCTGCACAGAAAAACGAGGTCATCTGCGTGGAACACATTAACCTATAAAGTCACCTCATATATATGTTTCTATTTGTGTTGGCCTTGTTTTAATGTGGCTTATAGCAGTTTGCTCTCTTCGTTTGTTACTTCGCTGTAAATTGGGTTATTGATTTAATTTTTACCCTTTCCATTGATTTAAAGTAGCCACGTAAGTATTGTATTTCAAAAGTTTCTGCATTTCTGTGATAGAATAATCTTTCTTATTTCAGACCGAGATGAATTCATTTACACTCGTTTATGTTATCTATATCACACACATACATGTGTATTTTTTTTTTTTTTAAACCATTAAACATTATTTTGGGGATTTCATGATACTACAAAATCGCAGCCAGTATACGATACAAGCTTACAATATGTTGAAAGTAGTATTATAGCCATGACTTTACATGGAAAAAAATAATAACCAAAATAGCTGCATCTAGCAAGCACCCCATGCAAAGGCAGTTCTTTCGGACTTAATTAAACTTTGACGCTATTACCTTCGCTAAATGAGTTATATGTACATCGTGATATTATACCGTTCTGTGTTATACTCTGCGTTCTTTAAAACTATTGTCACAATTGTTCATTTATTACACCACCCCAGTCCCAAAGCTGTAGCATTTACCCCTTCCATGAAATATTAGTCGTGACGGCGGAAATCGGGCTTTTTTAATATGTGTAATATTTATTTGACATCTAACGAAATTATTCGTCTCGTATACGTCTTAGGTTAAATTGATAGGTAGATGGACTGTATTCGATAAGAAACAAAGGGATACATGGTGATATATAGTTATCAATCATTATAGTTGGTTATTACCAGTATAACAAATAATAGTAAATTTCATTGTCATTACTATTATTACACTTACAATTATCATCATATTATTATGATAGTGCCATATATATGGTAAACTATAGAAATAAAATTAAAATCATGTGGCATATGTAAGTTCTCAGTCAGGAAGAATATAAAACGTCAGACATTGATTTTCTTTCGTATATCCAACATCTGTAAATTTAAATTTCATTAAGATTTTACTAATGTTTTTAATGTATAATTATTTGATGAATATAATATGAGAGATACCACATCAATATAAGAGATACCTAATTATCCTGCTGAACTCTTATCATCTACAGAATAAACTATTTTGAGGTCACTTATGAAAATAGATCTTTTAGGATGATTTTTTTCTATGATAGGAAAAATAGCAGTAAAGATAAAACTGAAGATAAAAATGACAGATATTATTATTGCAGTTGTTACTATCTTTGTCGTATATGATAATAGTAAAATTACAGTATATAATATATATATATATATATATATATATATATATATATATATATATATATATATATATATATATATATATATATATATATATATATATATATATATATATATATATATATACACACAAAAACAACCATACACTTGAGTCTATTTCGTGGCTTTTATTCGGTATTGTAATATTGTATATATAATATAATACCATAGTCATTTTCATTGTCAGCATCAACAAAACTGTGGATGAAATCATCAGTTAAGCAATTCTGTTTATATATATCATATATGTTGTATTGAATTCAGAAACTAAATATATGCCATATATCTGTCCATGGTATATAAACAATTATCCTATAATTTCCGGTATCTATCATCTACCAAGTCTGACGTCATACCCAACCGACCCCGCCATTACTACTTCATCGCTACGTCATAAGGTACTGGAAAAGCAGAATGTATTACTGGATTCACAGACCTTTAGTAGAGCCGTTTCAGTCGTCCACCAAATGTGTGGGTGCGGAATGGCAGATGTGACGACTCCAAGATAAAAACTTTCCTTCTCCCCTCTCTGTCGATAAAAAAAAAAAAAAAAAAAAAAAAAAAAAAAAAATGTTGAACGGCTAATATAACATACACGATTGCTCCTTGCCATTACACATAGCTAATTGTAGAGAAGAAAGTTTTCAGCTGCCGTGATAGAAACAAACTTGACAAACTATAAGAATGCTATTTTACATTAATGGTTCACTTATTCATTGTTAATAATACATCTTGATGATAATGATAACAAACAATAATGTAATAATAATGATAATCTGTTATGTTGCTTGCTGGGGAAAATGCTTAGGGCAGCTCTTACCTAATACGCCATTTCGCTGGGACTCCTCAGTCAAAACCAAGACTGTGGATGAAATCATATAAGCAAATATCTCTTCCATGCATCAACTCACTTCGACTCTCTCTCTCTCTCTCTCTCTCTCTCTCTCTCTCTCTCTCTCTCTCTCTCTCTCTCTCTCTCTCTCTCTCTCTCTCTCTCTCTCTCTCTCTCTCTCACACCACACACACACACAACTCACTCACCTCCATTGTAGATTTATGGGGACAGCTGCGTTGCATTTAAATGAAAATAGAAAAATATCGGTCACTGTGGATATAGCGATCGTATAATGATAATTATATAAATAGAACTGCCTCCTAGAATACCATGAGATATGTAATGATATAAATAGAGATATATTAATCAAACTGATATATTCTGCAACCAATGAAGGATAGCTTCCTTACCGAAATTTAGCCATATCTTGAGGTTTTTCATAATTCACTTTAATACACTCTCAAGGGAACATATTCTGACGATTCTGACTGGGTTGTAATGCTGTATTCAAGGCAATAA